CTCTGTCACATCTGTTAGCTCTGTAATACTTTATCCGCTCTGGCACCACTGTTAGCTCTGTAATATTTTCTCCGCTCAGGCATAATTGTTAGCTCTATAATATTTTCTCCGCTCTGTCACAACTGTTAGCTCTGTAATGTTTTCTCTGCTCTGTCACAACTGTTAGCTCTGTAATATTTTATCCGCTCCGGCACAACTGAGAGCTCTGTTATATTTTCTCCGCCCTGGCACAACTGTTAGCTCTGTAATATTTTCTCCGCTCTGGCACAACTGTCAGCTCTGTAATATTTTCTCCGCTCTGGCACGAGGCCTGTGAGAGACACAAAAAGTTTAAATTTAAAATCCTCCCTTTCATGGAGCAACAATAGTTTGGGAGGAAAAAGAAGAAGTTAAAGCAACCAGGCGCCAAGAAATATTGTTTGGGGGGGGTCACAAGGGTGGTTCCACCAACCAACAGCTTAATAATACCTAAGATTATAATCATTGGATTATTATTTTGATTTGTTACTTGATTTGTTCATAAAAAGTTGTGAAATTTGGGATATCTTATACAAACATATTTACATAGAATCATAAAATATATCAATCATTTTAAAACAAATTCTTTTTTGACTTTGATAATCATTTTCTTCCTAATCATTAAATAGTACCACAAACCATTTGATTAACAGTCCGTTCATCCATCGTTCTTTTACAGCCCATTTCGATCAACTTTTATTCCGTTGTTCAAAAAAAATATTTTGCTCGTTTTCTAACTGAACGATCGTTCAATTAAATCGTTCGTTCAGTGAAATCATTCGTTAAGTAAACCAGTTTGTTCGTTTTTCAAAAGTTTTTAGAAAAAACTGTGTGTTCAGTAACAAATATCATTAATTCAATTATACAAGTCGTTCGTTAAGTGAAAAAAACTATCGAAAGTTCTTTTGAAAAATTTGCTTGTTAGTAGTCTGGTTGTTCAAACAAAATGCAAACAATCGTTTTAACGATTTTAAATGGTTTTCTTTATTTTCCTTTGTTGATAAAAACGATTGTTTTTTAATTTGCTCTGAACGATCCAAATCGTTTGTTCATAATTCGTATTTTTTTCTAAACGTCACCAGCGTTCAGGATTTCATCAGCAGTATCGAATATTTGAGCTTACACTATAAACCTTGAAATGTCATGCCGCCGCTGTATCTGAATGTATTGTATTTGACAATTTAATTGATTTTGAGTCTTGGATCTGAACAAAATGTAAAAGATCCTTGTGTCTTATGGTAAAGTAGGGACGAGGGGAGGGGGAGGGGGGTTAAGTGAGATTACACAACCGGATTACTTTTTATAAGCATTCTTTGAACCAAATTATTCTAGTTTGAAGATATGCTGTATTGTGTTAAGCACATCCCTGTAGATGCCAAATAATGTTAATATTCTTGTTTACTGGAACATATTGAGGGGAAAATACGAGAAGAAAATACAATGTAAGTAACCTCGGGTTGTTTGTTTGAATTTCTGATCAAAAACCAGGAACCTCTGGACCGATTTGCCTCAAATTTTGATTGGGGAACTCGCAAAACAATGTTCTTTGCATCCATGTATTCCATGATTTCTTATATCCATGTATTCTATGATTTCTTGTATCTATGTATTCCATGATTTCTTGTATCCATGCATTCCATGATTTTTTGTATCCATGTATTCCATGATTTCTTGTATCTATGTATTCCATGATATCTTGTATCCATGTACTCTATGATTTCTTGTATTCATGTATTCCATGATTTCTTGTATCCATACATTCCATGATTTTTTGTATCCATGTATTCATCAGGGGGGGGATGATGTTGTCTGCCTGCTAGCCTAGTTAGATGGACTGTACGCTTACAATTGTTTACTTTAATATATGACAGAAGGAGATTCAGGCCTCGCCTATTACTTACAGTGTACGCAATAGTTGTAGTATACGGCCTAATCATTAGCAAAGGATTAACGTACATGAACACTCTATGCACTATAAACTCGTTGCCGTTGGAATTCACAGTTCCTGGCCTATACATTAGTAAAGGATTAGCGTACATGTGTGCTCTATGCAATATAACCTCATTAGAGTTCCCAGTTCCTGGCCTTTACATTAGTAAAGGATTAGCGTACATGAGTGATCTATGCACTATAACCTCATTAGAGTTCACAGTTCCTTGCCTATACATATGTAAAGGATTAGCTCACATCAGTGCTCTATGCACTATAACCTCGTTGGAGTTCACAGTTCCTGGCCTATACACTTGTAAAGGATTTGCATACATGAGTGCTATATGCACTATAACATCGTTGCCGTTCACAGTTCCTTGTTAATACATTAGTAAAGGATTAGCGTACATGAGTGCTCTATGCACTATAACATCATTAGATAATTTTTGAATTCTACCAAGCTTTAGGCAGCATGGATGCACAAGAACATGAAAACTAAGAGAAGTTGTCAATTAACACTACCAGCTTCCTTTTGTTTACTTTTAAAGAGAGTGTTCGCGAAATATGAAAGGGGGTATAGGCTTAATGCGATAAAAAGCGCTTTTGATCGCTACTAATCTTACTTCTATCTGTTGCGTGTATAAGGAGAAAATTGTTAAAAACGTCTCATTTCGAAGAACGAAGCGTTCATACAAATTGAGGAAGTTGGAACATACGACTTGGATCGTAAAAAAAAAATTAATATCAAACAAATAATTTTGATATTAAATCCTATAGTCATCGATTTTTTTTCGACGCATTTGTATAAAGTTGATATTTCATAATATATTTTATTTTGTGTTTTTTTAAATTAATATTTCGCTTACAACTTGTTTTCACGACTAGCGCATTCCCGGAAAATATGGAAAATGTCGTCTTCATTATCAAAATCCTCGAAACAGGAATGAATGTTTTCAAAAATCACTCTCAGATCATAGAAAGCAGAAAATATTAGGAAATATTAACTATTTACGAATGCGTCGAAAGATCATCGATGACTATAGGTTGTAATATCTGAATGATTTGTTTGAAATTAAATTGATTTTTTACGGTCTAAATCGAATGTTGCAATTTTCTCAATTTGTATGGACGCTAAGTTATTCGGTATGAGACGTCTTTAACAATTTTCTCCTTATAGA